CAGTATGAGGACTCTTGTTCATGTACTAGAGGTGGGTATTGAGCAGTATGAGGACTCTTGTTCATGTACTAGAGGTGGGTATTAAGCAGTATGAGTTCAGTTCAGGCTGCAAGAGATACTTCAATTAGCTAGGTGTGTTTTTCTCTCCCTAGGGTCATCTTGATGAACTGTTTGTGCTTGAAGCTCATCCATTAGATCCTCATCTTTTCTTAAGTGCAGGTAAGGCATGGTTTGTTGACATTATTTAATCGTCTATTTTACCTGTTATCTTAATACACTACTTGTTTGTTCATTCCTGCAGGCCATGATGGGTTGGTAATTCTTTGGGATTTAAGAACAGGCAAGAAAATTACAACATTCTTTAATTCTGTAAGTAAAGACTTTACACTACTCATTACACTTAATATAATAAACACTAGTCATGTATGATATTTTACTGGTTATATATATAATGATAGTACTCTTTCACTACAGATTGAAGGTCAAGGTCATGGTGCTGTGTTTGACTGTAAATTTTCTCCCGATGGCATGCAGTTTGCTTGCACAGACAGCCATGGTCATCTTTGTGTGTTTGGTTATGGTTCAAGTGAACCCTTTGCCAAGGTAATAAATGTTTGTATATCATTTTATCCTATAAACCAGTTCTTCTTATTCTCAAGAGAATAACACGTGATCTGAAATGGGAAAACAATCATGCTCAAGAAGTTTCAGTATTGTTCAGTTACCATTTTGTTCAACAACAATTGCTATAATGACATTATTGTTTAAGCTTCCATTAATTCCTAGGTCCCCAGCGAACAGTTTTTCCATACTGATTACAGACCTCTTATCAGAGATGCTAATCACTATGTTCTAGATGAACAGGTATGTACTGTATGTAGGTAAATGGCCCATTGTGAGCCTTTGGTTGGTTGGTCTCTTGTTTAATGTCTTTTTTCTCAATATTTCTCCAGACACAGACTGCACCACACTTGATGCCTCCGCCATTTCTTGTGGATGTTGATGGCAACCCTCATCCTCTTCACTATCAGAGACTGGTACCAGGTCATGGTAGTAATGTACGCAATGCACCACAACCACCACCACCTCCTACCCCAAGGGCTGAAATTGCCCCCTTACTGGCTGAAATTGAGGAAGCAGAAAACAGAAGCAGAGCTGCAGTACAAGGTTTTTAAGAAACAAATATTGTTATCCAGATTGTATATTAGATATTATTATTTAAATATTAATGAATATTATTTTGAACAGTACCACCAGGTTCACCTCCCCATCAAGGAGCAGGTTTGCAGCCTCCCTTGCAGAGCCCAGGAGGAAGCAGGAATTATGGCATGAGACAAAGTGGTGACGTGGAAGGTGTCAGACAAGCACAAGGGAATGTGCCTGTTATAGAAGATGTTGCTGAGTCTGATATTGCTCTGTGGAGAAAACGAACCATTGTACCTGACAGAAAACCAAGTGCTGTCAAGTGAGTACTGTAACATCAGTTTTAACTGCGGGGACATTGACACAACTGAAACAGTTGCTTATTGGTTCTTTCTCATGCTTTGGTGGTTTCTTAGGTTACCCTCTCTCAGCACCAAATAATTCCAAGTTCAAATTTCCTAGTTCAAAGCAGTATCAACTGTCATTCCCTGCCTGTTAATAAATACCTCTAGCTTGTAACTCAATATTTTCATATTGCATGAGTTTATAGAAAGGTTATTGCAAATTTCTTTTGTCATACTAGTAATCAGTGTTAAACAAATGCCTCCTATGACATCAAAGAATTGTCTGTTGAATTTTGTTATGACTACCTGAAATCTTAATGTCCAGTTCCTTAATCTGTAAACACTTAATTAATTACATGTTTAAACTTCTATCTGTGCCAATTTTTGCATATCTCCATTACATTTATACTTTATTTCAAGGTTTGATGAGGAGAGACGTCTCTATCTTGGAAGAAGTGAATTGACAAATTACCTGAGAGAGAAGAAAAAGYGCCCCCAAGCAACAGCAGCAGTCAGGCTTGTCAACCAAACTGTAAGTTTATTTAATATGAACCATTATCTATTTCTAAATTTTTCTGATTGAGTGTTTTTGATTATCAACAGATACAGGAAAGTTTGTCCAGCAATAATAGAAGTCAACGTAACCAGAGAAGAACGTCATCTCGCCAGGCAGCACGTGCACGTTCCCGTGCAACGCGTGTCCAGCGTGTGGCAAATAGAGTATCATCTCGTTCTACTTATTCTACTAGAGCTGCTTTAGCTATGGATATGGATGAATCTGGAGATGAAGTAGGAGTTCCAACACCTACTGACAGTGAAGAGGAAGAGGAGGAATGGACAGGAAGTTCAAGGTAATGATGCCCAAAACATTACTAGCCATGTTTATTCCTTTTATACAATCGTTTGTGAATCGATTTTTTGTTAGTGAATCAAGTGAGTACTCTGACTGGACTGAGGATGCTGGAATACGATCACAATCACAAAGTGAGAACAGAAGAACAAGGTACTTGCAGTCTATTGATGCTACATTTTTTGTTATTAACCTCATTTAACCTGGCCAATTCTCATTGATACTATTCATATACTAGACGTGTTAGACGTGTGTTCAGTACTTCGGATGAAGAGGGTGACATCAACCAACCCAGCTCTAGTTCTCCTCAACCATCAAGCAGAACGAAGAAAGAAAAGATAAGCAAGAAACCAGCTAAACCAAAAAAGGTGATAACACATGATGTACACTTGGTCTGTTCCACTAATATCCTAGTCTATTGTTGCCTAGACAACACACTAATATCGTACTCTATTGTTACCATAGATTGCAAAAAAACCCAAACCAGATGAGGTACAGGATATACTGAGTTATTATCAGCCACCTGATTGGTTAACATGTACCAAACCACGACTTTCTCCGTATATACCACAGATAGGTGATGAGGTAAATATCACTCAGCCACGCTTCTTGGAAAGTCCTTGAACTGATTTGATATACAAGGGATTCTTTCTTTGTTAAATCGGTCTTTTGTATCACAGTTGCATTCTGCAGGCAATAGACTGTATCTAATTATTGGGTTTACTCTCTTCAGGTTTACTATTTTCGACAAGGACATGAAGTGTATGTCAAAGAAGTAATGAAACACAAGTTATACGATATAAATCCCAAAAAACAATGTTACTATAAACTAAGGCTGAAGGTGAGTGACCTGGTTGTCTGGGAGTCTATGTTATTTATTTATACTAATGATATAATCTTGTGTTTGTATTCAGAGTGAGGAACTTTGTCGCATTGTCAGTCTACATGTGTCATTGTGTAATGGTCATCCTCCTACATTGTGTTGTTTAAAGTTAGGTAAGTGAACAACTGTGTCAATACACAATAATCCAAATGAATATTTGATTGTATTTTTTCTTCAATTATTTCAGCTCAAATCAATCCTGAAACAGGGTGCAGTACTGGAGGCTCTTTTACTGTAAAGTAAGCACACTAGATCAGGCTGGTAGTAGCTTTGTGTCTGTATTTGCCTTATACATCATAGATCAATATTAAACCCAAAAAAACTTGTCATGTTCAACAGATACCATGACATGCCAGATGTCCTGGACTTTATCATATTACGACAATACTACGATCGTTCATTAGCCAGCAACTGGCAACAAGGTAAGTTAGACAGCCTTCTTTCTTTTAACCTTATATGAAGTCAGTAGTACTGATGGCATAGTTAGACTCCACCTGTATATGAAGTCAGTACTGATGATATTATTGATTCCATAGGTGATCGTTTTCGTAGCGTTATCGATGAAAGCTGGTGGGCAGGTGAAATAACGGAACGAAGCCCATGCCAGCCTGAACACCCTGAAAGTAATTTCCAATGCCTTGAAGTCAGGTAAGAGGGCATAAAGTTATGCACTGCGCCTTGATAATATCTTACTGATCCATTATCATGATTTCTACATTCATTTGATAGATGGGACACTGGTGAAGTTGAGCGCATGAGTCCTTGGGATCTACAGCCAGTCAATCATCCAGGTGACTTCAACATTTCATTTCTTTTTCTGATTCAATCTGCTGGTGTTTAAGGAGGTTTGAAACGGTTTTTCTTGAGCGCACCAAGCTCTTGGTCCGATGACAGAACTTGCAAAATGAAAATTTTGTCCTCAAAAATTTTAATATTCTTAAACTGAAAAAAATCAAAAACTCTGTGGTAAATTTTTTCAAATATTGCATATGGCTTTGGTTTATGTTTTTGAAAAATTAAGGAAAAATTTTAAAAATTCTGTAAAAGGGAACTATTCCAAACAAATTTTATTGATTTTTATGAATTCCCTCTTACAGAATGCTTTTTTTTTTGGTCAAAAAGAAGATTTGATACGAAGTTTAAATATTCTGGTTTAAAAAAATTTGGTTCCTGAGTTATGATTTTTGAAATGAAAATTTTTGATGGCATACCAAGGGTTCTGATGTTGTCATAGCAACGTCTTACATCATTTTATCATTTTCATTGTGATCTTTGATTTATGGTCTTTGGCTTTCCGGGTTTGCTTGCTGTCATATTATAGCAATATTTTTTAGTTCATAATTGTGAGTGTATGTGAAGGCACAAAACACTTTCCAGCCTCCTTAATGTCTGGACATTTTTGATGTTTATTCTAATGATGTGTTTGACCCATGTATAACCAGGTAATCCAGAGCAAGCCACCGGTGAAGATGGGTCAAGTAACATGGCGCTAAGTGATGAAGAGCTGCAAGCACTGTCCTATGAACCAAGTGAGACAGACTGGTTAGGGGAGGGACGTGAACAAATGACTCAACGTATCATGTCATCAATGGAAGCATTGTGTCAACTTAGTATGGCTGGACCGTTTGTATATCCTGTGGATGTACAAACATATCCTGATTACTGGAGTATTGTCCCTTTTCCAATTGACCTCAGCACTATTATACAGAAACTAGAAAACAAGTTTTACAGGTTTGTAATAGATCTTTAACTGTTCTGTTATTTGAACTATTCATTAACTTATTATCATTTATTTACCACAGAAGAGCTAATGCATTAATTTGGGAAATCAAAATACTGGAGCGAAATGCACGTTTATACAATGAAGAAGACAGTCAGATAGTCAAGAATGCTACTTGTCTTGTGCGAGTTCTTACAGATTTCATCAGGTAACAGCTGGGGATACTTCAACTTATGACATCTTTAACAGACCTATCCCAGGGGGGGGGGGGGGGGGGGGGGGGGGAGTAAGGGGGTTTCTCTGGTGTAAAAGTATTGAGTATGCTTTTCAGAAATTTAAAAAAATACCCCTAAAAAGTTACCCAATATCTTTTAACTAGAGCACGGCTAATTGCAAATGCCTCAAAAAATCTCAAAGATCATACATGGCTGTTGAACTATTTGCCTGAGTATTATCATGTGATCTGTGATATGGGTAAACATTAGGTAAATTATTACTGTCAACAAATCATAGTATGTACATGTGTCTTAATGTTTTTTATTATAATTAACATTAAAGGGATAGTGAATGTCGAGATATTCTTTCTCTTTGTGATGGAATCAATGAAGAAGATGAAGGAGAAGAAATCGAGGTAATGCTAATTCTAATAATTATTCATGCTTCAATTCTTCCCCAGTTCATCTCTCACTCTACTCATTGCACAGGTAACCCATGTGTCTGAAGAATCTAACAATGAGGAGCCTCAAGAAGAGGTGAGTGGTTTGTTACTCAGGCTTGATATCATTCTTTATTATATATTTATGATAGTACCCACGCACTGATTGGTTGAAAACTGTGCTTTATTAGTGAACGGAGCACAGAGCTGACACCATCCATGCATGCGAAGTGCTGCTAGATCTTGGGACCCTTTTTCTTTTTGCATAAATAAATCCAATATCAAAATAAAATTAGTAAATATATAATACAACCAATAAAACAGCTTATTCCCATGGTCCATCCAGTAATAAAGCACTTGGGAAGCGCAGTAAGCACTCAAGAAGTGTAATGAGAAGCATTTGCCTATAGCTTGTGCTTCTCATTACACTTCTTTCATGCTTATGCCAATTCCTGCTTGCTGTCTTACTGAACGGAGCACCGAAAAAGCTATTTTATTTGTTAAATAATTTTTTTTTTTTGTTTGTTTGTTCAGGGACCAAACGATAGAGGAAAAAGAAAAAAGGTAAGTATTTACTATTGCACAATACTGTAATGTTCTGTCCTCACACTTTATTTGTCATGTTGTTGTCATGGTTACTATTGCACAATACTGTAGTGTTCGGTTCTCATACTTTATTTGTCAT